TAAGTGAAAAAGAAAGCTGCTGAGCTTCACTTCTGCTGATAAGTCAGTAGATGGCATCAGAGTGTGAGAGATCAGAGGCCAAGCTCTACCAATCCAGTGAGAGAAGAGCTTAGTGTTTAAGATTTGATTGGCCACGTGTAAGTCCTGTTATATTTTAAATAGGAGTGGTTCAAGGACTTATCAAGGACCTATAAACATTATAACTTCTACAGTCACAACATGACAGTGTTTGATATGTAGCACAGGACATCGCAGGATAGAGTATATAGAAATTCTTATAACAGTCCTAAAACAAGATCAGTTATTCCCATTATATACGCGGTCAAAGTTTTCCTTGGAATAAAATGTACTAAGACAGCACCTTTACGCAACACTTACATTCCTTTATTCACACAATGAGAGTCGGGGCTGCTGTACAAAGTGCCCATCAGCGCTAACTAATCCCACTCACATGCATTTACACACCGCTGGCTTTGCCATCAGGAGCAATTTTGGGTTCAGTGTCTTGCACAGGGACACATGGCCATGTAGACCTCGGGAGCTGGGAACTGAAATGCCAACCCTCCTGCTGAGACATGACCAACTTCACAGCTGAGCCGCAGTGGTAAGAAGGCTGGGAAAGCTCCTGACCACTGCTGTTTAGTCTGGGTTGCAAGTCGGCTTGATTTTATAAAGTTAAGAAAAAGAAATAAGTGAGTAAGTTAAGGTTTTGTAAGAAGGTATGGCATGACAATAAAAGACAGTATAGTGACAGATGGATGCTCACGTAGCACAATACAAAAATTCATACAGGCTTCTACTAAAAATGTGAATGTTTCTGGCATTAGTTCCCTTTGAATAGACTTTACCATCTGTATGTCTGTGTTTTTTAATAAAAACACAACTTAAATTAAACTTGAGGTTATTTTTTATAGCAGTTGTATGAGTACTGCTAACAAGACCTGCGAATTGCTAGCTCTGCTTACTTTGTTGGTTCAAATCAACATGCTTCGATGTTCTAGTCACTAATTAAGCTAATCATGTCTTATTTATCATCTATATTTTATTACTGCACATCAAAAACTCTTAATCTTATTTTCTAAGGTTAGTTTCCACAAACTCGATTGAGAGTTCTTCAGCTCCCTGGTCTTGTAAGTCCTATCACTGATGCCTTGCTGCTCTCCGATTGCTTCGACTTTTACTATCAGTTTCATCTTGACTATAACTGTGTAATTGTTCTTTTGAATTTTAGTGCTGCTTGACTCTGCCTGTTTTGACAAACATTAGTCCTTATTGTAGTTGCTAATGTTCACATAAAAACTGACTGACTTTGTTGTTCCTGTGTCTCATATACTGTAACCATTATTACTGACACTGTAGCCTTAAATCTGTTCCCATTAATCTGCCGTTGTTTGTCTTTTTCATCACCTCTATCCATCTCCTTTTCCCTCAACAGTTAGCTGGCTGTTCAGCTGGAGTCTGTTTCTTCTCAGGGTTTCTTTCCTTTCTGTTGAAAGATTCTTTCCCCCCCTCGCTTTAGTGTTTTGGGCATGCCAGATCAATGTTAGGCAATAAGATAACAAAGACTACAGCGCAGACCTCAAACTTAAGTGGTTTGAGATATTTGTTATGAATGGGTGCTATATAAAAGAATGACTGATTGGTGATTGATTGCAAATACAAAGCTCTCCTTGTAACTTTCACACAAGGTGCCAGGCTACAAGAGCAGACTACACAAAGCGAACTGGAGCAGTCATACACCTACACTTAGGATGACAAAAAGACCCCTGAATGGCCACACCAAGATCCTCACAACTCCTTCACAACAGATCCTTAGTTTACTCTGGGAGGTATAATTCTGTAGTTAACTCTATAGTGGGGAGTTGTGGGGCGGCAGTAGCTCAGGAGGTAGCGTGGTCGTCCGATAACTGGAAGTTGGCGGTTTGATTCCCCCCTATCCCAGGTCTGTCCGTTGTGTCCTTGGGCAAGACACTTAACCCACCTTACTCCCAGTGTGATTGTGAGTGTTGTGTGTGGTGGTGGTTGGAAAGGCTGTAGGCGCAAACTGGCAGCCACGTTTCCGTCAGTCTGCCCCAGGGCAGCTGTGACTGCTAAGGTAGTTTACCACCACCAGGGTGTGACTGGGTGAGTGAGTGAATGAATGATGGATCCAATGTAAAGTGCTTTGAGGGTCTCTGATAAAGCGCTATATGATGCATTATTATATAGTCTGATTTCAAATGCAATACAATACAAGAAGTTATTGATGCCCAGAGGGAAATTTGTTTGCCTGGAATCTCATCTCATCTACTATTCATGGAAGAATTAAGAAGTCTAATGTCTGAGGGTACAGAAGATCTCTTCTGTCCACCACAGTTTTTTTTTCTTTTAGTCCATCACAGTGTCAGTGTGCATCGCTTCACCAACTTGATTCCAACAACAGAGCCAGCTTTTTTTTTTAACCAGTTTGTCGCCATGTTGAGTCTGTATCCTAGCCATTGTTCCATTGTTTCACGAAGAACATCACATGGAACTTCAGCTGTTGCCTAGGGTGGGATGTATACAATCATTGCATGCAATAAATTCAAAACAACTGAGAGATTTGAAAACAAAGAGAGTCTCGGAACACCCCCCCCCCCCCCCCCCCCCCCCACCACCACCACCACCACCACACACCACACACACACCACACACAGACACACACACACACACACACACACACACAAACAAACAAACTAACTTAGTGTAAACATCATATTGGGCCATGGGTCAGTGATGACACACAGATCAATGCTCTGTGCATTTCTGACAGACAGATCAGTAAGTACACTCTGTTGTGTACACACTGTACCAGTCTGTATGGGAACAAGACTTCACAGTGGAGATCCTATCTACGTATGAAACACACACACACACACACACACACATGCATGCAACCATTTGAAGTCTGCTCAATCAAACACACAAACTCCTCGATCCTTGCCCATCATATTCTCTCCATCACACAAAGTCCACGACACAGACACCATCAGTGTGAGGCTCAACACGCAGACACAATTATGCACACACACTACTGCTAACTCTAACACACTCACACACACCCTCTAGCCGGTCTCTGAACGGGGAGGCCTTGGCTGGCTTCCAAGCTGATTAGATGGAGAGAAGAAGCAGCACAGCGCGATCAAAGATGACCGTCTCTTTACCTCCCTCCCTCCCTTGCAGCTCTTTCTCTCTGTTTCCTGCAAATCACCTCTCTCTCACTCCCTCCACTTCCTCACACTGCATCACTCACCTTCTCTCTGCAATCACTCCGGCCAAATCAGCTAAAAAATCAATCAGCACACACAAGGAGGGGTGTAGCTGCTCAGAAGGTAAAACACTGATCCTGCTTCTCATTTGGGACCATCTAGAGTCAGCTTTCTCAGCTGGGTGGCTGTGAAGTGCAAGTTTTATTACATTCTTTGCCAAGGAGGTAGAGTTTTCTGATTCCACTGTTCATATTGCTTTTTATGTTCTTTCTGTATCAACAAGGATGCAAATGAACTATTCTGAAAACATTATTTAGGACCCACCCCACCAGATTTTTCAAAATGTTACAATGAAAGTTTCAGTGTTTGGAGTCTTTCTTCAGAGGAACACACTGTACATCTTTTGTGAGCAACTCAGTCAAACACCTAAGTAAAGGGTTGGCCGAGTGAGGTGTTTTTTTTTTTTATCCTCGTGTATTAAGACCAGTCCATTTTCTGCCAAGACGCCAGATAAAATTAGTAAAAGCTCAATGAAATTTAGTACATTATTACTAACTGCCCATCATAAAGGTAAGTCTCACCTAAAACTCATTAAAAGTTAATTGACATTTCTGTTTTACGATGAGGACAGGGTGAGCCACATCTCGATTTTGGCTCGGGCTACTATGGTTTTCTACCTTATACCAGTTTTTATTGGTGGAAAACACACTGCCAAGTGTTGCTGGCCTTGACCATCCTTAAACACTGCCTTCTTATAGGGCTGGGCGATATGACAACTTTTGAACTGTCCTCCTTCTCCTCACCTGTCTTTCCCTCTTTGTTACAGACTGGATGGGGTGGAGTCACATCTCTGACATAGGACAGCGTCTTAAAGGGACATGAGACCATAGCCTACCTACAAACATCCAAGACCAACTTTTATTTACTTATTTATTTGACACTGAATATATAGACAAGGACAAAACGACGTTGGCTATTGTATTATTTGAATTTCAGTCTTGGTAAATTTTCGGTTTATTGCCCAGCCCTACCTTCTAATTACTTTTACAAAGTGAAAAATACTAATGAATACTCATAAATGGCTGATGTTGCTTATTTCAACCATGCAACACATGTGCTGACCAACTCACTCAAGCACCAAAAATGATGTTTATTCTCCTGAAGGAAAACTCGAGTCCAGGGTCCAAGGTCGTCAGAGAACCAGCTTCGTATCATTTTACATTTAGATGCCTTACAGTTCATGTTGCAGCTTGATCTAACACCAAACTGACGTGGTTTGATTGACTCCCGGGACACCTGGCTGACACGCCGATGGCTTACCGTAAGCTTTGTTCAAAAAAGGTAGTTTTGACTGGGATGCACGATAATCCATATTTATTTTGCATACAGCGAATACATACTTTTTCTTCAATTCATACAACATAACTCACAGCCGCCACCGCGTCGGTCAAAACCCGTTTGGCCCTTCCGATATCAACAAACCAACAACAGGTGAAATCAATCAATGTTCCCTAAATACCTGTGGTTGTGCCACAGGACAGCGACACCCACTGACGCGATTGAGTACTTCACCAGGTGAATAAATGAACCGATCTTACACAGTGAATGGCTCTTACAGTTCATCTGGTGCAAGTTTAACATAAATGGCCTTGGATGATCCACGAAAGCACTGAAGCTGAGAGCACTGTACAAAGCCAGTGTAAGCTCTTGTGCATGTGAGCTGCAGGTGTCATATAGAACCTGTTAACTGCACTTGAAGTCTGACCAATTAGCCGGCTGAGGGGGACTTCAGGGTGGTGGACTTAGTGGGCAAATCCAGGGTAAAAAGATTAGGATGTTCTCGGCTTTTTATAAGTGCAAATGAGCAAATGAGAGTCATGGAGTCCACCTCAAAACTCGTTCACACAGGACATGAAAGTACCTGATGCATTTGTTGAATTATTTTTGGGTATACTTATTTTCGCTCCCCAATCACTACTAATGCTGCGTTCCAGTTGTACTCAGAAGTCAGAATTCCCGAGCTCCAAGTCGGATGATCCTCACCAACCCTGACTTGACGACAACGTCGTAATCCAAGATGGCAGCACAGTGCATCAACAGTAAAGAGTAATACTGAAAGCTCTTGTAATGTATTACTTATTAGCACTTCTGTTTTGTTTTTGTGAAATTAAATAAGTGGTATATGATGTACTGCCCAACGTCTAACTGTGGACATGGTGCTAAATTGTTTGTAAGAGTAAAATACTGTGTTATACGTTGTTTACAACTGGTATAGCTAACAATAACTAACAATGGCTAACAACAGCTGGCAATTGTAAACAACAGCTAACAATGACTAACTGTAGGTGTCCATCTTGGTTTTCCAACTTGTTACCCTGACTTTTCTGTTTGTTAATACATCATTTTAACTTCATGTCCATGTTGTGTTTTCATGTTCCCATGTAGTGAAAAGCAATGCCATTGTTTTCAGCATTATAGATGAATAATGTCTTAAGATACAGCTCTGACAGGAGGGAGCAGGACTTACAAAAGTCTGTTCAGGGTCAAAGAGTAATAAAGCAATTGAATAAAACTTTATGCTGGAGACATACAGTATTTGATTGTCATTATAAGATTGTTTCTGGGGTGAGCCTTTTTTATTTCCTCCTCTGCTCCTCACCTGATGGAATTACCAAAGACGCTCTGACATTTGGATCAAATACAGAAGTTCCCTCTTCTACCCAGCTTCGCTGCACATTTGGTGAAACAGTTAGACTAAATTTTCTTATTCATATTTCAAACTGACAGAAATGGAAAATGAGGAAACTTCATTCCATAACCACCCTCCCTACATGATTTCAGCCTCTGCTTTCCCCTTCTTCAATTTCTTTCTGTTTTACTTTCACCCTCGTTCCTTCCAATCTCTGTTTCACTCTGTGCCAGATGGATGGTGTCCTCCTCTGTTCCTCCCCTGCTCCACTTTCATTCTTTTATTTACAGCAATCATCTGCTCTGTGTGTTCATTGTTTTCCCTGCTCTCATTGACGATGTGAGGCTGCTGTTTCCCTGCCAGTGACTGTAATTACAGACCGCTGAGTGTGTGTATGAGTGAGTGAGTGTGTGTGTGTGTTTGTGTATGTGTATGTGAGAGTGCATGTGAGTTTTCGTGTCTTCATTTCATGTTCAGTGTGCATATTTAAGTGCATCTAGGGGACTTTGTGATGTCTGCCTGCACACAGCTGTGTATTCGGTGATGCTTTGGCATGCATGTATTTTCCTGCTGTTTTTTTTTGTGAGGAAGTACTGTCTGTAGATCACTCCTCTTTTGAAAAGCATTCACAAAGAGAAACTAAGTTGAAGTCTAGAAATGAGTTCACATTCAAATGTTTAAACATTTGATGTTGGCATTAAAAAAAAACTGTAGAAAACACTCTTTCACTTGGAGGTCAAAAATTGAGGTTTGCAGACAGAAACTGAAAGTGTGAAGCTGACCCTGTCACACTCTGTCAGTGAGTTTAGCCCTGAGTGTCACTCTGAGCTGACACCTAACACTTGCAGGACACACACCCTTTGATGTGTGCACACACACGGTGTGTAGGGTGCTGACCCTGGTGCTGATCTGGGTTTTCCAGATACAGTTAATGTCACCAACATGGTCCTCTTTATCCTCAAAAGAAAACTCAGGGGTTGACTTTGTCTTGGCCTGTTATTCACTCAGCTTCAGATTCTTTAGTTTATGAGATTTTTGGTTGAAAGTTTGAGATACTCATTACCTTGTCTTCTTCTTGAATGACAAGTCTTTGTGGTAGCAGCTCAAAACACAGAATCCAACTAAAGGAGTTGCCCCCTTCTGGCCATCATAGACAAGCAGTTCTGTATTTGTTTCATATTTAAAATCATGGTGATCAGACTCTCTGGTTTAGAAACTGGGCCCTCCAGAATTTATTCGACCTAACTAAGTGTAACACTGGCTCTGTTTCCACAAAAAAATGGAATACTAGCCTGATTAGAATTAAAAGTTCTTCATATAAACACCTATGAACAGATTATTCTGATTGGTTCATTCAAAAAGGGTCAAAGGTTGGTCTTCGACTTAGTGTGTTAAAGTCTGAAAATCTGGCTTTTTGAATATTTGTTTTAGCTGACTTATTCCACAGTTTTGTAAGGTTTACTATATGAGTGTGATCGGCTTATTGTTGAAACCTTGTGTTGCAGCCATACTTGGCCAGGTCTCCCTTGGAACATAGACTCCTGGGGCTCTATTTACGTGCTTCGCCGGCGATGTGGTGCTGGCACGGTGTAAGTCAGGTCCGCTGCGCCGACAAGGCGTTCCCAAGCACAATTTGGTATTTTGGTGAGCGGCGCAGCCCGGCGTAAGCATCCCCCCTCCCTAACTCAGCTCCTCCCAGCAGCTTAAGTCGTAGCGAGGAAGGAGAGAGGACGTGGAGTGGGTTTAACACAGCTGAGACCTGTATTGACCAATAACATCAGCCCCTCTCCTCACCTTTAAATCCTCCACCGTCGAGGCGTACTACAATTTTCGTGCAGTAGTCAAAGAGCTTAAGAGATGTCTGAAGACAGTAATGCCACACGATGGTGACAGAAAATTCCAATAATGGTATTAAAATCAGAACCATCTGTGCGTAAAGGACGCGTCACGCTCCGTGGCCTGGCTCTTTCTTTCATAGATGTTGGCATATAAAATACATTTGGCTCACAAAACTGAATATTATATTTGTATGTAGGCTTAAAGTAAAAAACTCATCTGATCACTGAAACAAATCATCTGTTCAGCCGCCGCAGCAGCAGCTGCAGCAGGACGGGGAGAGGACATGGAGACATGTCCAGGTCGAGCTGCGTGAGAAATAAGAGGACGAGGAAGAAAGAAAAGGAGGGAGACGAATTACATATCTTGTTAACTTCATCATGTGTGTCGAAGATTTTTAATTTGATTTAATGCGGTTTCAGCTGTGTTGATTTGGTCAGGTTTTGTGTCCAAATGCGTGCCAAACGCGCTCATCAGATCAGATATAGATCAGAATCTATATAGCTCTAAATGTATGTGCTGACTCAGATTATTAGTTGTTAATGATTATTTATTGCACTGAAATGTGCCTGACACTGTGGAAACCTACCAGTGAGGCATCAGTGACATATGCTGATACGCCGCCGGCCTACTAAAATACCACTAGACCAGCTACGCTCCGCCTGCGCTAAAAGCTGACCAGGTTTGAATCGTCGAGCTTTCAGCGCACTTTGCACGCCAGCGGCGGCGAGCACAAAAATGTCACTGCGCCAGCTGATTCTGTCGACACCTCCCCCTGCCACGCCACCACGCCCAGCTTGGCGGACCTCAGTGCGCCTCAGTCCATGAAAATACCAAACTGGCTGTACGCCGGGCTCCGCAAGATGAAAATACCACTGCGCAGGGTCCACCACCCTCCGCCGCATCGCTGGCGGACACGAAAATAGAGCCCCTGATCTCAATGATACAGACCCAGCTAAATAAAGGTTGAAAAACAGATAAGCTTTCGGACATCTGGGTAAAACTTTTGTTACTGTGCATGTTTCCCCTACCTGAGTTTTCACTTCCGTTTTAGGAATTTATTGAAAAAAAAAAAAGCAGAAGCAAAACTGATCTTAAAACCAGCACCCATTTTTGACAGACAAGGAGAACAGTTTCTTTGGGGACGACTCTGCACATGTCAAAACTGTTTCACTCAGATTCAGACTGCTTTGTGCAGGTGTATGCATGTCTAAATCAGGTCACTTTCTGAAAACAATGAAGTTGGAATCTCCTGACAGAGAGGTTTAATCAGGTTGAGGAAAATTCTACTGCTGTACTTGCACCTAGTGTTTTATAAAACACCACTTAAAAACATCATCTTAAAAACATCAAAACCTGACCTGGTTTCACACTGTCCAAGACACAAGTTTCTACCTAACTGAGTTGCACTTAGGAAGCATGTGCTTTAAGTCAACCATAACGTTTCAGTTTCAACTCTCAAACAAACAGTGACGATTCAGACAGTTCACAAACATCTGGAAAACTTTTAACTCTATCTGCTTAGAGGACTCGTGTGCGGTAGAACTCATGTGGGGTCAGGACCATGAAATTTGCCTTTTTGTCTGACTGTGATCAATAGATGTTGATGAATTTCCTGCAAACTAATTCAAAACAAATTCAAAACAATTTCCTGGTTTTGGTATTTCAGAGCTGTAAAACTCAAAATAAGCTGCAGTTAATTGAAGAGCTGGTTGGTACAGTAACAACCAAAATCTGTACAACCAAATCTTGTTGGTGGAGAAGCATCGTCCTAACATCTCGCAAGATCTCACTTGTTGCTGGAAGACAATGGAGGACACATGAGTGAGTGACACTAGGAGAGATCATCACTGGTATGCGGGACTTGCAATAATGATAAATAAAGCACTTGTCCTCAATTGTCCTGTTAAACTACCTTTTGGTGTGTTTGGTGGCTGCTGGCTGCTCCGTTCTCCCTCGATACTGGACTAATTTTAGAAACTGTTCTCCCAATCAGTCAAGCATTAGTCATTAACGCATCAGAAAATAGGGCCCAAGTGAAAAAAAAAATACTGAAGTTCCCCTTTAAAATGGTCTTTCATACTCTGCCTCAGTTGTTGGTTAACTTGGCCTACTTTGTTCCGGGCGATCACTGTGTCCTCTCGTCTCCCTTGGGCTGTAGTGCTGAGAGACTGCTGACCCCTGGCGTGGTGAGTACACTGGCTTTACAGATAAGTGGCGCCAACCACTGATGTCAACAAATATTGGCATTTAATTACAAAACCCTGAATGTAAATATCTGTCTTTTTCCACGTTTTTAAAAATGCTGTCTTTTACTCAAGTAATAACAGCGATGTGATAAAAAAGACAAACTCAAAACAAAGCTGAGATAGAATCGTCTTTTTCATCTGTGTGCACAGTCAGTTGAGACTTAAAGAAAGAGTATAATTGTTTACACAAATTGCAGCAATCGAGCCTCCATGAGTCACATGCCCTGCTGCTGCAATAAACAATGAGTGGGTTCGATAAGTGGGACAAATCAGTGGGTCCAACCGACCAGTAATAACAATAACTAACCTGATGTTTGTGGGACACCTCAAACTGTGACCTCTACTTTTAAACACACGTGTAGGAGTGTTGACTGTTGATGTCAGAGAGGTTTATATCCAGAAGAAACAAAGTAAAGATCTTTTTTTCCCACTCCAGTTGGAATTAGAGGTTATTCTTCTGACAATATATATGAGTTTGAACACACTCTGAGGCAAGAAGAAAGCAAACAGTGACCTTCTGAAGTCCCAGCTCTAGAGCTTTCTCTCCCCGCTGTCTCCACATCCCTGCAGCCTCTCATCCTCCACCTCTCTCTCTTTGTTTCCTCCCTCCTCTCTCCCTCTCTAATGACCGGCCTGTGTTTGGGCTGCCAAGAATGTAAGTCTGCCATGGCTGACCTTCCTTTCGCCTCTCTTCTCCGCGCATGTGGATGTGTTAGAATGACGCTTCTCCCCCTCATCTTTCTGCCCTCTGACGATCTTATTCATTCAGCAGAAGCTGCAGCTGCATAATTGACCCTGCTGCTGGAAACATGTAGGAACAATCAAAATCTGATATCCTCTTGTTGCCTGAGCAAGAACAAAAAAACAGAGCTGACTGTGGAATTATGATAATAACTGGCTCAGCTGCATTGCTTTACTGCATTGTCTTTGTTTTGTCCTCTTACAGTTTGTTTTACTGTCTGCCCAATGAAACGTTGTCTAGGTCTGAAGTATGATCATTTACATGTACAGTGTGGAAGGACCAAGAACATGTTTCAGTCAAACAGGTTGATGAAAAGTATGAATCATCTCAAAGCAACATGAAAAACCGCATCAAACTCTTTTTGGTTTCAGGGAGAATATCTTTTTTTATATTTCAGATTGCATCTGAGGGGAATCTTCAATATGTCACTGAATAATCTGGTCCAAAAGGCCCCAGACTTAAATGCGTCCTCCTCTTTTCAGAAACTAAATCTTTCACACAATTGAATGTTTTCTTTATTGATATGCAAATAGAAACTCGGTGAAGGTTCGGTAACAAAGGCATATGGCTACCTCGGACGTCCAAAGTGTAAATTACTACAATAAGAGGTAACACATAATCATCACGGTGTAACTCAGAGTCAATTCACACTTGTGGGAAATCTGTCCAGTTAGGATGCAATTATGATTGTGAATCAGCTTCACCCACTGTTGTCCAAATGGGGCAGAGAACAGGCGGACAAGAGAGGCAACATGCAAGACAACCCCCACTAAGGAGTGGTTTTACAGGTGGAAGCCATGGACCATCTCCCTCCTCATCCTCCTCTGGCTGATTCTTGGCTGGTTTTGTATTTTCAAGCATCCTTTCCACTAGTGGTAGCATGACTCAGTATCTGCAGTCCACAGATGTTGCTCAGGTAGAGCAGTGTCTGCATGATAGCAAAAGAAGGTTTGCTGTGTCTCCAAGCACAGTTTCAAGAACACAGGGGGGATACCAGGAAACAGGCCAGTACAAGACCCAGTTCCTTACATACTGACTCCCAGTAGACCACTCGTCTGCATATTTCTGTGCCATGAGGACTCACTGTACACAGGCAGAGTGTGTGATCATAGCCCAGCACTGTACAGCCTGACTGGTGTATTCCAGAGAACACCAGAATTGTCAGATTGGTGCCCCGTTCTCTTCACAGATGATAGTAGGTGTACACTGAGCACATGTGACAGACTTAAGAGTCTGGGGATGCTGTGGAGAACTTTCTGCTGCCTGAAATGTCCCCTAGCATGACTGGTTTTAAGGTGGGTCAGTGATGATTTGGTGAGGCATATCCTAAAGGGCTGCACAGATCTGCAGGTCCTGGCGTAGAGGTAACCTGACTGCTGTTACTACTGGGACAAAACCCTCAAACCAATTGTCAGACCATATCTTGGTGCAGTGAACCCTGGGTTATTTCTGGTGCATGACAGTGGAGTGTGTCTGCACTCCCTTGATGCTTAAGGCATTCATACTGTTGACTGGCTTGCCCATTCCCCAGACCTGAATCCAATCCACTCACTGGGATGTTGTGTATCATTGCATGCCATGTTGCACCACAGAGTGTCCAGGAGCTGATTGATGTCCTGATCCAGGTCTGAGAAAAGATCCCACAGGTGACCATCTGTTGTGTAATCAGGAAAGTGCTGAGATGTTATAGAGAGTGCATTCAGGCAAACAGAGTCTATACACACTATTGATCCACATTTTAAGTTGTCTTGAGGAAATTCGCAGAAGTCGGGTTCCACCTTTGTTTTGAGGATGATTCTGATTCTGACCTGTCCATGAGTCTGTGGTGAGACCCACAGACTCATGGACAGGAGTTCTCCTCATGGCAGCAGTTCTCCTGCTTTTTCTCACGCTGTTGGAGGAAGGCTGTTCTGCTTTGCCGGAAGCACATATGAACGAGTAAGGAGAGCCTATGATACACTCAAAGGCATAGTGTGTCTCATGCCTTTAGGCATGCCCTGTTTTGAGCAATTTACATGAATTTTCTGAGATTATGACAATGTATTTTTGCCTCATGATTTGAAACTATGCATACATCTAGTATGGACACCATAAAATAAAGGGAAGGAGCACTGAAATGTTACTAAAACTAAAACTCTATGAAACGGAAGACGAGAATGGCCATGGATATTTCTTTTTTATGCACTGTTATCTTGTTATAACAACTTATTTTTGAGATAACAAAGTTTGTTTTTTCATAACAAATTATTTTGCCGACCTGAAAATGTTAACTTTTAAAGACGGCCTGCTTGCTGTTGACGTTGTCACCTCACATTTCTTTTGAAAATGTGAGGTTGAATGTGACGTTGTCAACAGCAAGCCAGGGTTTACAATGAAAATGCAGAAATCACGCTCAACGCATGTGCATAACGCTATTAACATTGGAACATGCCATAATTGGACAACAACAGTAACATCGGCTGACACATTATTTATAAATAATAAAAGATAAGAGATAATGAGTCATTATCATGAGTTAAAAGAGCATAAAAAAGGAAAATCCATGACTGTTTTCGTCTTCTGTACTATGAAGCCCTTAAACTTGAGTGGAGTAGAGCAGCAAGAGCTGAGAAACTTCAACAATAGAAGAACTTTATTACTCCCCAAAGGGAATTTGTTATTCATTTATGCTGCAGGAACAACTAACATAGTCTGTGCTGCTGTTTTAAACTGCTTGTATCTTTTGCAGATCTTCTTTTGGACCTGTAGTCGTGGGGATAAACAGTTCTATAACCCTGAGGTCATATCTTTGGGAGGGGGATAAAGCCTCTGACTACTCCGTTATTGGATGGACTCAATAACCTCCAGTCCTGCCTTCCTCCCGCTGACCTCCTCTTCTTCCACTAATCCTTCTCTCATATATGACCTGTACTTCCTTACCCAGCCCCTCACCCATCCAATCTAATATTTGATATTATCAGTTTAAGTCATTCTGAAAAGGCTATAGGAAGTGGAACGGAGAAATAAACCCAAGTAAACCTAAATCCTCACACTGAATCCCCTTCCAGTGTCTTAATGCAGGTGAGCTTTTCTTTTTAACCTTTACTGACCTTGGCTTTTTCGCAGTATTGATTGTCTCCTATATATTTAGAGTTAAAGTGAACTTTTCAAACTTTTCCTGTCCTGAACTTAATGAACCAATACACTTTTCTTTCTGACCAAAAAAGCCACTGAAACAAACTGAGTGGTGTAAAAAAAAAAATCACTGCTTCTGATTGGTTAAAGCCTCTGACAATGGCAGGAAAATAAATAAAATGTAGCTTAATGTCTGTTGCAATCTGTTTCAGATAAGCACATTATCCAACTCTGAAACTGGAGCAGAACAGTGTGCACTGTGTGTGTTTTTTTTTTCAGGTTGAATTTGTTCATGTGTTTGACCTTTTGACTATAAATGCAGCACAGCCTGTGGTGGCCAATCACAGTACAGCAAGACTGGACATGTTGAATGTCTATTGAAGGATAAACATCACTTGCAGACATGGTTTCTTAATTCATGTAGTGACAGTTGGTCTTGTTGTATTAATAAAACTATTATACAGCCAACTTAAATATAGACAAATGATGGTTTATTTTAGTACTGTGCAGTTGGAGAGTGACCTGATCTGTAACCTGTTCACTCTATGATACATTTTTTTCCAAATGCAGCTGCTGTATGGACTAAAAGTATTACACGATGTTCAGAAAAAGGTAGGCGAAGGAACTGAGACATACAATGCTGTAAAAACCAGTTTTCAGAAGCAGCTCTGTCCATGACCATGCTCCAGCCGCCCCCTCCCTGCCAGCTCTTCAGCTCAGAGGGTCACTCTGCATGAAGTCACGCTCACAGCTGTGGAGAGCTCTCTGCATTGAGCAGCACAGTGTAAAAAAACACAGTTAAACTGCAGGAGGCAACCGCTCTCAACCTTACAGAGACAACATCCATCAGAATGGGTGTAGAAACATGCATTTATCTCCCAGCAGAAGACTTTTGTAGCTGTCTGCTTTCTATGAATGTATAAGAACCAAAAACAATAAGGGATACAGGTTTTTCTATTACATGGAGAGCACCCTATGGAACTCTTTTCTATCAGCCTGTAGATTCATTGCATGCAGCAAAGTCAAAAGGTACACTTGCCCGTGTTCACGCTCTTACTGATGCTGGTAAATACAAGTTTCAGATTCCTTGTGCTTAACCTCAGTATGAATAGTTTGTAGGAGCCTTTTAGTTTTTATCATGTGTAAAAAGTATGATCTAAATCTGCATATTTTAATGTTATCTATAAATGCTGTAAATCTGTTCAACTTAGTTTCAGATCTCATTTGCACACCATGCAAATGGCTGGCACTGTGCTGTAGATTTATAGATGGTAAACTCTGAACATCTGGTGGCTCATAAATCCGTCGCAACTAAACAGAAAAAAGAATAATTTGTCCCATAAATTGTCTTTTTAGCTTGAGAAGTTGTGTCAAGTTTCTGCATATGTGAAGATTCACTTATGCTGTCTGTCCTTACTATTCTCATCACCTCACAGGTTGTTTAAATGGACACCATGATCATCTCACAACCAGCTAAGTTCAATACTGTTTTTTGTTGGCTATTATGTCTATAATGGAGTGATAATCCTGTGTTTTTTTTTTTTTAACGCTTTATTTAAAACCTAAACTCCAGGGTTAAACACTTTCTTCGAGAATTAGCCATCATTCAGGCCAATGAGAGTCAAAACAAGTTACGGTTATTCTTTTACAAGGATCATAACCCAAGAGAATTTTTTTCCTGATGTAAAAAAGCTTGATTATGTAAAGGACTAAAAGTGAACTGCAACAAAATCCAATTACGGCTTCACGCTAATGCTGATGGATTACTCAGCCCTGGGAATGTAAAGCATATGGAAAGTGTATTTAAATTGTTTATCATAATTTAGCAGCACAGACGGCAGCTTTTTGTGACGAGAACCCCTGGATAACTACCTCTATGCGTCTGCAGGAGTGTTAATCATGAACTCTCAAACTAAGAGGAGCGCAGATAGGGCTTTGGAGGGGGGCTGATTTGATGATTGATGAGGATGGTTGTGTTAAAATTCACAGCTTCATTCTACTCTTGATTGGATTTGGGGATTTTTACTCATTAGCTAACCCAGCCAACATCACCTCATAGAGCATTAAAATTGTCCTTTTTTAAAAAATATGCCCTTGCTTGGTTAAAAGTGATACAAACACTATATTTTCGATGAACTAGCTCTACACTCTAAAGAACAATGGTGTTTATTCTCATCTCACCAGCAAGAAGCTATGCTAGTTTTTTCTCAAGGACCTGTAGCTTAAGCCTCAACACATTTTAGACAAAAAAAGTTACTGTTTCAAAAAGTTGTGATTGAGTGAAATAGTTTTCTGTGTGACTGATGTCAATGCTGATCATGGGAGTCCATGCCACATTTTCAAACTTTGCCTTCAGTAGAACGCAACAACCTGATAATACCAGACAATGAGAAATAGGACTGTTGAACTGCAGTGAAAAACTTCCAAAAATAAGTTTGAAGGACAGGTTTATAAAAGCAGTTTGATTGGTCCAAAGAACCAAGAAAACCCTCCTACTGGCCGTAAACATGTGTTTGAAATGGACACCTACACAGCACATCTCAAGTAGAAGGTAAACCCCAGTAACTTTAGCTCAGTGTGGGCAGTGTGTGTTATATAGTCTGTATGGTCATTTATATGTTGGTACTCTACATATCATAGGTCTATAAAACCCTTTGATTGAAAGGAGCAGGTTTGACCGGGTGTGGAGGTGTGAAGGGGTGAGGGTGGGGGTTCTCACATTGAAATACAGATTTATTAGACTTCACAAGGGGGGATGTTTATTATGCAGATAAATTGTTCTAAAGGCACAATGTGTCTATCTAAAGGGTCAGAATATAGACTGAAAGGCTCTTCTGCTCACCCTTTGTGCCAATAAAGTGACCGTGGCCTTTACGGAGGAGATATATTACGTGTGTGATCCTCCATTCATCTAGTTCAAATTATTTTGCACAAAACAAGAACCACTCTATACTTCAATATCTTCCAAATGGTGCATTTGGTGACCACTCATTGAGGTCATGATAAGGGATGTCCCGGTACGATATTAATATGTGACCGATATCAGCAAAAAAACAAATATTGGATTATATCAGCCTATATCTGAAACCTCAGATATCAGCACTCCGATACAAGCAGTCCATTCCAGACTCCACTTCAGCACCTCTATCTAGCAGTGCCCTGATCCAGCATGCAGAGCCCACGTGGTCACAACAACAGTGTGTACTAAGGTACTAACAAAGTAGCAAGGAGTAAGAGTGATATTGGCCTTGAGGCAGTATTTTTTGTTAAAGTCCGAAAAACACGCCGAGCTGAAGGAAAAACTTGTCATGCACAATCGAAGGCTACAATATCGGTATCGTATCACAAGTCAAAAAGTTGTATCAAGACACCCCTAGTCATGATACTTGCTACCTCCCACTGGCAGGAAACGTCCCAAATTTTTGCTCTCCTCTTGTTTTCCAAGTCTAAGAACAATAAAAACGTTACAGTCTATCTTATCAAGTTTCTGTATGTGCAGCTTTCACTACAATCAAACAGTTTTTATCAAGTTTGGAGAGGGTGATAAGGATGTGCACACAGAAAACACCTGTACACATGCTGAATATCCTGAATTTAGTTTAAACCAAAACAGGTATAAATAAGCTGAAGGTTTCCAGGTAATGTGGCAGGAGTTCATTTCCAGTCGCTGGCCCTGAACATACAGTATACATTAAAGACTACATAAAATGCATAAATATACATAGTCTACATTTGCATCTCCTACTTTAAACTGAATTTACACCAGGACCAAAAAGACTGTCATGGTTGCTTACTGCAGCTGATAGTCTTGATGTATTTAATGCATAGCAGCCACTCTATAGGAGGACAGCTGACAGCAGGGCCTCAGATCATGCTGACACACTGGAACGAGCTTGCCAAGGACTCTGTGTCCGTCCAAGTTTCAATCAACATGCCTACGAGCAGCCAAGAGCCCAGAGGATGGAATAAGTTGGTGAGAGGACTTGTAGATAGTTGACAGGTAGAAGACAGAAAACGACAGGATAAGAAGGGATGACACTGAGGGATGAGAATCAGATTAGGGAGCAGACACAGAAAGAAGATTAGGTGAAAGGGAAAGACCAGAAGCCAATAGAGGAGTGAGGTGAGACACAGGTGAGAATGACACAACAACTATGTGTTCCAAATAAGTCAATACTCCCCACTGAGTCCAATTTAAAGTGAGTTAGCCATTACACAGAGTACTAAACATGTACCTATGAACATCTACTCTGTCAGTTTCCATGTAGAAGTGTGTGTTGTGCATATGGAGAAAATCCTGTTTGCTCTGCGGAAGTCACTGAAGTACTATTTATGACTCTCCAGACAGAGGGCAAAGAAACAACACATAAGGGTCAATAACATATTACATGTCCTTCAACAACCCTGAAAAATGGTATATGAAACTGATAAGTGATTTACATCTACAAGGTTAAAGTGTCAGGTTGTAAGTTTCGACAGAGGCTCTTTTTTCTGTATTTTAATGTCTTAAATTCACATTCTGTCTTAGTTTTGCAACTCGGTGAGATGAAGGTTTGGGCCTGAATTCAAGTTACGCAACAAAGCCATAAATTCATTTCATTACACTGCATTCTATTCAGAAATTGTGCCTGTATAAGGTAAAAAGCAGTAAGGCTAACTCACTAAATTCACACAGCCCCAGTGTTTCTATGGTATTAAGCTCAGGTTACTATCTGTTTTTATTCCCTGAGTTTTTATTCAATTACTTAGCAACTAAAATGGCAGTGCGTGGTGAGAGTACATTAAAACATCAACTCATGTGACAAGGTCAGCAACTGCAGTGGGAAATGAAGGTTGGCCAAGGAAATTATACACTTCTTAACGATACCAACAATACAACACATTCAGATCAGATATGATACAATCAATGCAACGCAATAGGATGAGATGAGATACAAAAAATACGATACGATTCAACAAGAGAGGATACCATAGGACACAATACGGTATGATACGATTCAACACGATAGGATACGACACAATACGATATGATATGAATCAACAAGATAGGATAGGATAAGACACAATATGACGCCATTCAACAAGACAGGATAAGGTATGATTCAACATGATCGGACAAGATGGGATACAATACAATACCAAACAATTCAACAGGAAAGGTTAGGATAAGAAACACTATGATATGGTACGATTCAACACGATAAAATACAACACGATACGATTTTATACTTTATGATTCAACATGATGGAATACGATACAATTTGATACAAAAGAATATGATACAATTCTACACGATCAACTTCAATACTAAACATGACATGATAGCAGAAAAGGAACAATAGGATATAGTGTGATTCAATGTGATGAGATAGCAAAGTATGGAAAACTACGATTCAATAGGATTCACGACAAATTTGAAGATGTCATGTAATACAATATGATATTGTACTGGACTTTAAAGTACAATATAATACAATACGATGTGAAATATTACAATACAGTACAATAGGACATGGCAAGGTACAGTGCAATACAATACAATATGATTATCTGATAAATCTATCAATGAACCTTTCAATTAATGAATGATATTCACTTTTTATGATCCCTTTTACAAAGACTACGATAGGGATACTATGCCAGAGACAACTCTATTTTTATTGATAAATTTCAAGATATTCACAGAATGATACAACATAATATCTGATCAAGTGGACAATAAGAAAATGTCTATCAAAGGTAAAATGTAGGATTATTATCATTGCAGAGTCAAATCAGAGGGTCAATCTGCTTAAAGAGACACATTACTCTAAATCAGAATACAAAGTTTTATCACCAGTCGTAGGATACTTCTAAGGGCCAGGATGACAATTACTTAACCTGCGTATGTGAACACTTTGCAGAGACACAGAGAAAAAAAAAGGCTTCTGTGAACCCTCCTAATTTACAGCAAAGCCATATCATGCATGTTTTAACAAGGATGTTCTGGTCAAGAAGTGAAAGTCAGGAGGGAGAAACAAGCAAAACAGAGCTTATTAAAAAAGATTCCTGATTGCCCTATGAGCAACTTCCAATTAGATAGGTAATGAAGCTAGCTTCATTATAAAAGTATAACCCAGAGGAAAAGAAAATGACACACGCATCAGCACTACTGCACACAACAAGGAGCTGCACAAGGGCGGGAGGTAAAAAGATACTGCAGTGGTAGTCAAGCTTTCATGTGAATGTATCAGACCAGCACTGTGGTGTGCTGTGGTGTAGAAGTTGCAGAGGTTGCAGGTATAGGGAAAGATTTTTTAAAGAATATTCTGATGTAAAAAATAAACTAGTGACATCGTTCTCATGCATATTAAATAACAGCCAGGAGCTAATTACCTTGGCTCAGTTTGGGGCATAAACCGAATAAAACATGGATGTTGGCTCAGTGACAGCAGCCATTAGTTTCTGAAGGAGGGTTCTGCAAAGTGACTGCCAAATAAGTCAGCATATTAGAAAGGCACACTAACTTCTCTTTTGGTGTAGCTACAGAAACAGACCAAGGCATGGAGCTGAGACCGGCTTTCAGCCTCCTGGAAACTGCTGTGTTGTGCCCACTTGTAAGTCAACTCAGCCACGCCCCTGATTACACACATCTACACAGGTCGGAGCCTTACGATTATCAAAACAGATGATTAACAACCTCCTATTCAGACCCAAACCCCCCTTATTTTCGACCAAGGGTTAAACATGTTTGATGCTACAGTAAAGTGGACATCCTGACATGAGTTTACAGGTATTTCTGACCTTTTAGAGCCAGCAAAACAGTGGTGTTTTGGCTTAATATGTTCAACATTAAGGGCTCTATTTTCATGCCCGTCGGTGGCGTGGTGGAGGGTGACCGCAGTGGTATTTTAGTCTGGCGAAGCCTGGTGCACAGCCAGTTTGATATTTTCATGGACTGAGGTGCACTGAGGAGTGCCAAGCTGTAGGGGGAGTAGGTGGACAAAATCCGCTTGCGCAGTAACATTTTCGAGCTGGCCTGCAACGTAGAAAGTGTGCTGAAAGCTTGCCGATTCAAACCCGGTCATCTTTCAGCGCAGGCAGATTGAGCTGGTCTAGTGGTATTTTAGTAGACCGGCAGCGTAGTACGCATAAGTCACCAATGCCTCAGTGGCAGGTTTCCACAATGTCAGGCACATTTCAGAGCAATAAATAATTAACAACAACCAATATTCAGCGCAGCTATCTGAGTAAGCACATACTTTAGATCTATATCCATATATTCTGATATGATCTGATGAGTGCGTTTGGCACGTGTTTGTTGGATTTAAAGATGAGGAGAGGAGCTGATGTGATTGGTGAAAACAGGACTCGCTGTTTTAAACCCACTCCATGCCTTATCCCCCCCTCTCTACTACTTACGCTGCTGGGAGGAGCTGAGTTAGGGAGGGGGGGATACTTACGCCGGGCTGCACCGCTCACCAAAATACCAAAAGCTTGGGCATGCCAAATCGGCGCGACGGACCTAAATTACTACGCCATGCTGGCTAGGCACGAAAATAGTGCCTTAAGTGTTAACACTTGGTATTGAGTCCAGGGACAGTAGAGGGAGCTGGTTTGGCCTTGTATTGGTTATAAAATATTATTTTTTTTTATCAAGGAAAGTTGAAAATCGGTCTCTTGGTGTATTTCGTGAAATTACATTTTGACAAACAACATTTTCCCCTTTCAAAGCACCCTTGTGCAATGTTCGTGGTATCCAGCCATAGGGGTGAATGTGCCAAAATTAGCAACTCACTGAGGTGAAAACAAATCCAGAAGTCACACTGCCTGGAGAAGGAATAACGTAAACAGACAAGGGGGACATGTGTCACCTGAGGTTTACATGTGCTTGCAACCAGGCTGTAAACTTTGAACTACTTTCTTAAACTGCTGTTACAGCCAGGAGCAAAAGTGATAAAAATACAGTTAATTTCAGTTCATATCAACACCTCAAGTTTAAAGAGAAAAAGGCTGATACTTTTCCTGTTTCCACTGTTAAAGCTAAGCTAAGCTAAGTGCCTCCGCACTGTGACTCAATACACAATGCAGGGCAATGATGAAGGTATTGATTTTCACACTCAGAAAGACAGCAAATAAAGTAAATTACTCTACAATCTAATGAAATAGGATGGGGAAATCAATACTGGGGGATGCAAAGTATCATTATTTAATTGTTATTGGCAATTTCCCCAAACTGTTTGAATCCAAACATTAAAGTTGTAGCCTGGTTTTGCTTTGATTCTTAGTCCAAAAGAAGAGACTTTTTCATCCTTCCCAGCAGGCTGGTTGGTCTGCAGGAAACTCTGATGCCAATCAGTGATTCTGCAGGTGGAAAAGTACTCTCTGAACCCAGCTGGTAGTCAGCCTGAACACACACCTGTGCGTCCACACTTTCACACAAACACACTCTACAGCATGATTGCAGCAATAGTCTCAGAGAGGCTTGCAATGACTCATTCAATGCTCCAGTTTCATGTATGTGCACACACAAACACACACGGCAAGATAATGAGATCTCCTCCAGCTCCCGTCGGCCTCATGTGCCCTTTAATGCGGCAGCAGGGCAACTGAGCCACTTAGCACTATACGTGACCACCTACACACACTTCAACTAGCCTTCTGATTGGCCCAAGTGGGTCAGCGCTTTCAAAACATGACTGAGCCGGAGACTCACACACACACGCGCACACACAGACATACACACACACAAGTTGCTGAAGAGAGTGCTGGCACACAAACAAGTCAGCCATCTGATTGGCTGTCGTGTGTCTGCGGTCTATACATCACTGCATGTCTGAGCCACAGGTGGCTGGGGAAGGGTTGGCGTTGCCTTGGCAACACGAAGCAGTGGGCGGGAGCATGTTATGGTGCTGTAGTGTGAGGAGACTATCAATGATGGAGGGTAAAACATGTGTGTCTCCCTCTGAGGGACTAATGGGAGAGGACACAGCGTGTCTGAGGTAAAACGAGGACATTCTGTGGGTGGGGTCTCATCCATCTTTGTCTCCATCTGTCTGTATTTTTCTGTCCATTGCTTATCTTTGCATTAGGCTTAATAGAGACAAATAGGCGTAAAGATTATATACCATGATTTCAGTGGTCCAGATTATTGCTGTAATAATCAAAAGCACATAAATGCTCGATACGTTCCAAAACACTGAAGCCATTTAAAAAGTTGAACCTTTTGTTTTCTTAGAATAGCCAAATAGCAAGTGCATCATGTAGACATGTTAAAAAACATGGCAAATGTGAATTAACATGAAAGATGGAATGATGTTTCCATGAAAATTGCAGCACTTTGAGAGCAGCGCAGATAAGAAAAGAGCAGCTGAAAAGACATTTCTTCACATCCTGTGCTGGAGTAATGAGATCTGGTCTGCTACAGATTTCAAAGCACTGCTGGTGTCTGAATGAAAGAACTTGTAAGGGCAATTTTCTGTTTCATGCATCCCTGCTGGGAAGGCTTTCTTTGCAGAGCCCAACTTTTCTTTTTGATTAGGCTTTCGGCAGTGTTTTTTATTTCCATGAAAAGTTCAGCTTGTGCAGACCGATGCAAATGATCACACACACAAAAAACGAAGGAAAAACAAAATATGCATTTAAGAGGAGTTCCACAAAGACGGACACATTACACACTAGCTTCACTCCTTTTAAGTAAAGCAGGTTATTGAAATCATGAGAGATAGTTACTGCTAAATTGAAGGAGAAATATGGTTATTATAAAGCCCATTATACTAAACTGCTAACTTAAGAAGGGTGCTAGCAAGTGATAAAGTACAGCTGAGGTTAAAGGTGCGTTAGTTTTGCAGATAACTAGTTAAGGAACTGGATGAGGGTCAAATTGTGACCTGGCAGTAATTATGGAGAGAAAAAAAATGGTCATCAAAGTGGCAATTTTCTGTCAAGCAGATTTTAAGATTTTATGGATTACTTTTCAAGCACTCATGGGACTTGCTCGCAGCCTCAGATCCTCTGTTAAAGGCCTCCTGGCCGTTCCAAAGTTGAGGCTCAAAACTAAAGGTGATAGAGCTTTCTCAATCGGAGCTCCATGACTTTAGAACAATCTGCCAAAGGAGATAAGGTGTGTATAGTCCTTCACATCTTTTAAGACAATTTTTAAAAATTCACTTAAACAGATTTACTTTTATATGATGCTGTCTTCTATCTTTCATCTTTTATCATTTTTCTCTTTTATCTATATTTCATATCAGCTTTCAGTCAGTATTGCTCTTATCTCTTTACCTCTTTGTACTTTTAAGTCTTTCCTCTTTATTTACATCTTCTATGTTATGTGAACATATTAATGCCATTACTTACTTATAGTTCAGATTTGATCTAATTTTTGATTCACTTTTGTTACACCTTTAATCTTTTCTTATAAAACCTTTTTTGGCTATTTTTATTGCTTTATATCTTGCTCATGTCTGTTATTCTACTTTTTTATTATCATTGTTAATTTCCCATTTTTCTATTCGCTGTCCTATTTTCTGCTTTCAGCCCCTTTTTATTGCATTGTCTTTTTCCAACTGATTTTATGTTTTTCGCTTTTATTTTGGTCCTAATGGTCTCATATTATGTTGCATGGTTCTTGTATTGTCTGGGTTTTTAAGGCACATGAAAAGCTTGTTTTTATTTCCCTAAGCTGAAGCTCTCGTGCTTTCCTGACTGTTTGCCAAAGCACTTTGTACACCTCTGTATTTAAAAGTGCAATACAAAAAAGTTATTATTGTTATTATTCTTATTAATATCTATTGCATTGACTGGAATAATGAGAACAGCGTGCACTTTTTTTCCAGAGATATAATTTTTTGAAACAACAAATCAAAGCTCCATGAGTGGGTATTTGCCGCTGCAACACTCTCAGCTCAGCTCTGTGAAAACACTCAGCCTGACCTAAGCCCCGCTTGGTTTAGAGTTAGTCCAGGACCTCATTAAATCCCAGATGCACCTCTGAACATCACAACCTTCAGCTTTCACAGTAAGGATAGTGTTTACCAGCTGATATGGACTGTTAGTTTTTCTCCATACAAACCACTTAGTGTCTGAGACACACTTTACCACTCAACTCCCATCACAGCCAGAAGGCTTTTATGTCGCAATTTTTTCTCAACACCACTCATCTCTTAATTGCCGTTTTTCTATGAAATAGCTCTGAGATTGTGGAGTCATAAACAGCTCAAACTGTGCTTTGCAACCCAATCAGTGTGGTCTGTGCTGCTTGTATTAAATGTCATTTCGCTTTTTAGTTTCTCTTGGTAAAGGGGGTATTTGATAGATTCATTATGAACAGATGGGCCAGCAGTTATAAAATCTATCACTCCTTTAAAACTTTGTATATGAGAGGACTTGTTTCCCCTTTTACTGACAACCCTAACCCTTATTTGAGACCATGGTAGCAAAGCAAAACCAGAGTCTTCAGCCATGTGTGCAGATCTTTGGGGCTATAATGAGACCCTGAGGTGCTTTAAGCTAAATGCTTGTGTCAGCACACAGACATGGTTACAGTGACAATGCCTGCATGATGATTTCTAGCTGGAAAAACATCAAATACTTTGTAATCTCCATCTCGTTGCTAACAATTGCTAATTTGCCTTATTACAGAGTAGAACTGGTTGCTATGTCGATGCTTGGCATGTTATTTCTTGTGCAGGTAAATCAGTCATAAACCAGTGAAAGGAATAACTAGGTAATGACTATAGAAAAGTATACTTTAATGATCCTATGAGGAGTTTTGTTACATGGCTGGAATTCATATCAGTGCCTTTTAATGAGGCCCAAACTCAAACAACTCCCTCAGCAACAAGTTGACGACTTTCATATTTTTGTGTTTAATTCCTAAAACCAAAGCAAGGGGGTAGGTGTCAGCCGAGAAACAACCAAACAAACATCCCTGTTTTTATAGATTCCACCTAAAATGTTGACAATGAATGATGCATTTAAAGCCAAACGTCAACAGGATTAAAGACTATTTTGTCACAAGTTACAAAATAAAATACTCTGGGACAAGATATGTCAAGATTACTTTGTCCACAGGGGGTGCCAAAATTGACACAAACCAAAAGTTCCTCACCCTAACCATC